TTCTCATTATACTATATTTATAATAACAGTGTTCAGTATGATATATATACCTGACTAAGACTTAAAAAATACATACAATGTATAGATCAACTCGGAAATTTAAAATCGTGAAAAAGTTCCAAAAGATATGATAAAGAAATATAGCATGAAAACAAATCCACTCCCAGCATGTCAAAAACCTCAGTCACTATAGTCTGGAGTCCCTGTAAATAAGAACTAGACATTAGAAAGATGTGATGAATATGAAGATTTTGTGATGAATATGGAGATTTTGTGATGAATATGGAGCTTTGTGATGAATATGGAGATTTTGTGATGAATATGGAGATTTTGTGATGAATATGGAGCTTTTGTGATGAATATGGAGATTTTGTGATGAATATGGAGCTTTGTGATGAGTATGGAGATTTTGTGATGAATATGAAGATTTTGTGATGAATATGGAGATTTGTGATGAATATGGAGCTTTGTGATGAGTATGGATATTTTGTAGAGAGCTCTAAATAATTGATACAATTCTATTTTCAGCAGTAGATTACTTAAGGAATAATTCATTGCGTTCATTATCATCATCTTTGATACTTACAATTATCTCTACTTTTTAACCAATTAATTATTTCAGGTGTGAATATAATCATTTTATTCATGAAAGGTAAAAGGCACATGATGGCAATATCAGGTTAATGTTAATATATTGACATTTGAGCCATGTCACGCCAAAACCAACATAGTGCGTTTGCAACCAGCATGGATCAAGACCAGCCTGCACATCCGCGCAGTCTGATCAGGATCCATGCTGTTTGCTATCAGTTTCTCTACTTGTAATAGGGTTGGTAAGCGAACAGCATGGATCCTGATCAGACTGCGCGGATGCGCAGGCTGGTCTGGATCCATGCTGGTCACCAACCCATTATGTTGGTTTTTTCATGGTGCGGCTCATTTTATGACAGTTGTCCAATGACTTTTCTTTTGTATGTTTAAACATAATTTTTATGTTTTAGCTCGATTACGAAACAAGTTCTTGCAACTTATATTAATCATTTTAGACTATGCTTCCTGCCATTGAACAATCAAGTACTTATGTCATATGAAGAAACATAGTCATGACCCAACTAGGGCTCAAACCTATGATCCCTTGGTTGTGAGGCAGACACCTTAACTATTTGGCCACTACTCTTATATATGTACAGGTGTTTCACTTCATTTCAAAGGAGCTTCGTCAATTTTTTTTTAAAGGAGGTGGCTATAATTGTCAGTACCAGGTACCCTGTCATGAAAATGAAATTGCCAAAAAATGTCCGGTGGTCCATAACATGTTACATAGGATTTTATCCCTTTGGAGGATTTGATGTGAAATTAATCTACAACTCTAACTAGAGTCTGCCAGCGTACTTTCACATTAAAAAGAAATGAAAAAAATAATCTTAAATTTGATTTAATCCAAACTTAATATAGTGATCAGGCAGAGATTTGTTTGAATATATAATAAATACAGTGAGGATTCATCAAATGCATGTTAACAAACCGTTAGGACAATTTATTCACTGAATTAAACAGCATTTCATGGTCTTCATTCTCGGAGCTGCAAAGATATATCCTCCTGATCAATAATGGCTGCTTTGGCCTTAAATTAGGCAGTGCTTCCAGTCTATTCCCACACATTAAGACCAGTCAATATCAAATTGTCAGGAGGGCCGCTCATGTGAATGGTAGAAAATTGATAAAACCATTATAAGAAGTCTGTGTTATTATTCATAGAGGGGATTTTAATACCAATACGTGAGATGGTTTTACAGAGCAATAAGAAGAATTTATTTAAGAAATAATTATGTGTGTTGAGGTCGAAAGAAAAGGATTTAATTACTTGTATTATTTTGGAAATATCTTTTGAAAATGTCTGCTGCATGCATATGTGAATGATATTTGAGAAAAGTGTGCTGTACAGTATTGTATAAACACTGTGTCAAAGCAATTTAATTGTTTAATGTGATTTGTTGGTATATTTGACTTTAATTACTATTATATATATCACATAAGTTGTCATCTAAATTTTGACAATGCTTTTTTTGCCTGTGGAAGTAAATATTTTTTTGTTATCAAAAATCATTTAATGTTTGGGGTTTGTTGTTGTTGTTTTTGTCATCAAAAATTATCTAATGTTTTTGGAAGCAAAATATTGTTAAAAAATGTTGTCCTGATAAGTTTAGAGATAATTATATTATACATCAAAAGTTACAATGTAAATGGTTTTATAATTAACAGTTTAGAAATGTTTTAATCATCAAATGTTTTTGGCCATCAATGATTTAGTAAATTAAATTGTTGTGAAAAGTTTGAATATATTTTTTACTAATCATAAGCTAGTTTGTCTTCAAAAAGTAGGGCACCAAATGTTTGGCAATTTATTAGCCATCAAAAGTTTGTTGATGAATACATATCATCAAAAGTATGGAAATGGTTTGCTAAAGAGTTTCGTATTATTGACAATACAGTTTCATATAACTTCCAGAATAAGCTTGATTTTATTTTTACTAATCGAGCAATATTGCTACAGCAATTTGATTAAACCAGTTAAAACAGAACTAGTTCCATTTTTAATTTTTGTTAATCAAGCATGCTATTGCAATTTTAATTTCATTCAAATTTTATTGAATTGGCTTGCAATGAGATATTAAAAAATGTTCTGTTCATTAAATTTTAAACAACTTCTATAGGTTTGTATTAAAGGAAGTCTCAATGCAAGAATGAAAAAGCTTTGGAGTTGAAGTATTATATTGATTTGTGAAGCCTGGACGTGTTAAATCTATTTTAATGATTAATTAATCAATTTTGTTTGATCAAATATTAATGTGCCATGATCTTGGGTTGTACGTTTCCTGTTCAAATTGATCAGATGATTTCTTAATTGTCTTGTAATGAGCATTTTGATCTATTGATGTGTTCTTCCTTGTGTCACTTTGATAATTTTATTGGCATTACTAATCAGTATTGGTAATCAGTATTGCATCTTGATACACTTGTTACTATATACATGTAAGTAACAAAATTGTCTATGATTTCAATGATGAGGGTCGGCACCATTATTCATTTTGCGGGGCGATTGTCACCTTCCGGCCCTACTCCGACCCTGTAATAATCTCTTATATCATACTGAAATACTTCGTATTTAAGTTCTGGACCAAAAGTTTGTATTTTGTCCTATTTCAAACAGAAAAGAGTCAGGTCTGTTCATATGGCTTTGCAGACTGACCACGCTCTGGGAGTTGTTCTTACTGTTTATTCAAGTGAACCATGTGATATATTTTGTAGTGTTACGAAGCTAAAATAGGTAAGCATTTCTCAAATCATACTTGCCCTAACATAGGCATGCATTCTTCAAATCATACTTGCCCTAACATAGACATGCATTCTTCAAATCATACTTGCCCTTGCCCTAACAAGGGCATGCATTCTTCAAATCATTCTAGCCCTAACATAGGCATGCATTCTTCAAATCATTCTAGACCTAACATAGGCATGCATTCTTCAAATCATACTTGCCCTAACATAGACATGCATTCTTCAAATCATACTTGCCCTTGCCCTAACAAGGGCATGCATTCTTCAAATCATTCTAGCCCTAACATAGGCATGCATTCTTCAAATCATACTTGCTGTAACAGAGGCATGCAGTCTTCAGATCATACTTGCTCTAACATAGGCATGCATTCTTCAAATCATACTTGCCCTTGCCCTAACAAGGGCATGCATTCTTCAAATCATACTTGCCCTAACATAGACATGCATTCTTCAAATCATACTTGCCCTTGCCCTAACAAGGGCATGCATTCTTCAAATCATACTTGCCCTAACATAGGCATGCATTCTTCAAATAATTTTTGCCCTGGAAATAGTCAATAAGCTTTCTGCAGATAACATTTGGCCTAGAAAAGTGAATTCACAAACTGGAAATTTAAAATTTATTTCATGCCCCTGAAATTTCTTTTTTTACAAACTACCAGTAAACTGTTATGTAATCGTAATTTTGAAATATTGAATAAGCCGCGTCACGACAAAACCAACATAATGTGTTTGCGACCAGCATGGATCCAGACCAGCCTGCGCATCCGCACAGTCTGATCAGGATCCATGCTGTTAGCATACAGACCCTATAACAAGTAAAGAAACTGATAGCAAACAGCATGGATCCTGATCAGCCTGCGCATCGCGCAGGCTGGTCTGGATCCATGCTGGTCTCAAACCCATTATGTTGGTTTTGTTGTGACACGGGTCAACTATATTACTTTTAGCTTTCTTATCTACATTCCCCCATCATAGGGCTGTCAGAAACATCTAAGGGCAGTTGCTTGAATATCTTAAAAATAATCACTAGTGTCAAAACAATGAATTCTGGTATTTCACATGGCACATGGTGAGAAAAAATGTGCAGCCTGACTGGGACTCGAACCTGAGACCCTTGGAATACGGTTTCGCAGTTCTACTGACTTCAGCTATCCGGCCGTTTACACATCATCTCCCCTAAATACTCACATTTCGATTCCATTTTTGAGCAGTTTGCATTTCTTTTACACAATGCTTATAAACTTGATAATGTTTCTGACTACCCACTTCTTATTGATTCTGCTGTACTTAAAAAAACCATAGCAGCTTTTGAAGAAAGACAAATGAGCCGTGTCACGACAAAACCAACATAATGCGTTTGCGACCAGCATGGATCCAGACCAGCCTGCGCATCCGCGCAGTCTGATCAGGATCCATGCTGTTTGCTATCAGTTTCTGTACTTGTTATAGGGTTTGTAAGCGAACAGCATGGATCCTGATCAGACTGTGCGGATCCATGCTGGTCGCAAACCCATTATGTTGGTTTTGTCGTGACACGGCTCAAATTTCTTTTTATAGGCATCTGCACTTATAGGGATAGAATAGTAAAACTTGATTTAGAGATTTCTGTTGGTTCCCCCGAGAGTCGTCTGCAAAATGAACGGAATGAATGCTGGCGATGAAGCCGATGTTTTATTGGAATTACTGCGATGGTTTTTAGGAGAGCCGCTCAGTGTTGTATAGAATATGCTTGGGTGAAAGAAAGAAATTACGTTTTAGAAGAGAAAATAATAATCATACTCGGATGTTATTCGAAAATGAAATTGCTTCACACTGATTTTTATCTCTGATATGGCTGTGTATACCAGTAATGAAAAAATTTGACAACAACGTTAAATTTTGTTGGATTATGTTCAAGATTTGTTGTTTAGAACTTTTTCTTCCTTGAAAAAGGTTTAACTTACAAAATACTGAAGATATTAGAAGTTATTTTGTTCATAAAATTGTGCTGTAGTGTTATTTTTTTCTTGTATAAAATTTGATTAGAATGGGCTGATAGATTGAAATTCTAATTGAATGGGATCTTGGATTATTCAAGTTTTTCTAAAATGCATAAATTTTGTTACAGTGTATGTCTCCTATTAAAAAAGAAAAAATATGACTGTTTAAGCAAAATATTTTTTCTTAAAAAATTAAAAAAAAAAGTATTTTTTCTTTTTTAACTTAAAGCAGAATGTCTTGCTTTTTAATATTAAAATTTAGTGAAATCTTACTCAAATAATTGCATTTTAATAATAGAAACAAAGTGTTTTCAATTTTTTCAAAAAAATTTCATCTATATACTTGAATTTTTGTCATTTCTGACTTTTTCTTTAATAGTAGATTCATCACCTGAGTTTCTGTGAGTGAACTAAAATAATAACATTATGGAAGTTATCAAGTCATTGGGTGAAAGAAACACTGTTCATATTAATGGAAATAAAATTGAATTGAAGACCAAAATGAAAACTGGGAGAACGTTTATGAAAACTTCTTTGGATTTTAGAGATGCTGTTAGCGTTGAAAAATTTCAAGTGCCGAATAAGAACTGTTTACAATTTAATAAAAAGGCTTGGCTTATAAGTCAAGCTTGTTACAAATTTTTCCACAGAGTTCATTCCTTTTGGTGCTTAAAAACCTTGCCAACAAGTGTCGCTTTGATGTTACTGTTTCAATTATTTGCACCAATCTGCGAATCATGCTATGTTTTTCCGCCAGGCAAGAAAAACCCTTGCGCGAATATGGAATGTGAATTAGGTGCAGTGTGCGTATCATCTAAGGATGGCCTTGAGGCCCGATGTGTATGCCCGCGGGTGTGTCATAACTATGGTGATAGTGATGAAAATTTACCCGTATGCGGAAATAATGACAAAGATTATGACAATTATTGTGAGCTTCGTAAAGACTCGTGTAAGTCTATGAAGGAAATAAAAGTAAAACATTATGGAAACTGTGGTAAGTATAACTGATGATAAAATTGCATAAAATATTATTATTATATGTATATTTTATTTAAAGCATTGGATGCATTTTATTTTTATCTGAGGTAACAGATATGCAAACAAATACAACCGATTTGAACAAGGGTCATTAGGGGGATATTTAAATCTAGGGGCTGAAAACACAACCGATTTTAACAGCATTTCAGCCACTGAAATGAATCCCTAATCAATGTTAATAATGAAAACCCTGCTGGGAATCATGCATAGTCATATTGATTTTAAAAGGAAATTGAAAGTATTTTAAAGAAGTTAATAAAAAAAAATAATAAAAGCATTGGAGGAAATTGAGACTCAGAGGATAAACTTGCGCTTGGGAAGAGACCCTTTTTTGATAAATGTTTGTGTTTTAAGGCAATAGTTCTTTTCTAACATTGGTGGTTATCAGCAGACATGACTCACTTTACTTGACTTAAAGCAGCCTTCAGCTTTTATAAAGATTAAACATGTTGTTTTTAGAGAAACAGTTTCATATAATTGTCACAGGGTGAGAAAAATGTGCAGACTGACCGAGACTTGAACCTAGGACCCTCAGAATACCATTCCGCAGCTCTACCGACTGAGCTAATAATTCCAGCCACTTACACCTCTTTTCCCCTTCATAGTGAACAGTTCTGAACTGTGACATAATTGTTTAATCAAAAGAAGTAAGGTCGTTGCAGTTTTCCATTGGTAAAATACATAAACAATAAAGAAACCCTGTGATACCTCTAATCTGCCGGTTCACTCTCTATATGTAAATTAGTAATATGTAGGATTTGTTTCCCCGATCTTCTATTTTTAGAAACGAACATCACTTGTGTGCTATCAATAGCTCTCGGGACGCCCTTTTGAAGAAGCCTAACTTAAGAATGATATGATGCACTTTTCCAAGATATAATTATACTGACATACTTAGTTTAAAACAACACAGAATTGTTTTTCCAACAAAAAATAAAAGCTGAAGGCTGCATGCTTTAAATGAAGGCAAATGACTGGAAATTAAAATATTTAGTAACCAATATAGCCACTAACAGTTGGTTGGCATATAATTTTAGAGTTTCAAACTGCTAGTGCAAAAATAATTTAAGACAAATCAACACTAAAGAAGTTAGAAAATTGTCCACTCTTATAATAACTTAGAATAATAAACAATAACTTGAGAATGATTTAGCTTACATTCCTAGATTTGGTGGAGAGGTTGAACGCGACTAGTAAATGACACAATGCTCTGAATTAAGGAAATACAAAAACAGTTCCAAATGCATAAAAAACATAAAATTTGAAATCCGTGCATCATTACGTAAGGTTGAGTAAAGGAAAATTATGCAAAAGACCAAGCTTGATTTTAGTTAAAAGCATTGAAATACTTTTCATTTATTAGTTATTTGTAAAATTAAAATGATTATTCTGAAAAACTGATAGAATGAATGCAGGACTGAAATTTTTTGCACAAGTAACTGGTCAAGAATTACATCAAATCCTGACATATCAAAAAACCTCAGTGGAGTCCCTTTAAGGTATTTCTTATGGAACATTGAACAAATAAACAAGCAATAGAGGGTAGTGAATGTTTTAAGATCAATACTGAATTTATTGAACCTGTTGAATAAAATTATATTATGTTATCCAACGAGTTCAATAAATTTCTTAATGAACTTACACCAACATAATATTCTATTATATAAAGTGAAAAAGTAACATTCTTCATTGACGTGTCTATAGTATAATGCTAACATTAAGTCTGTCTTAATGCTATGCTTGTAAAAACAATAACACAAATGATGTCACGTCAAAATATATGCACAGCCGTGCAGTACCGTTTATACGGAGTTGCAAAAGAGGCACGGGTGTGCGATAAATTGTCTTCGGAAGTTTCACAAGCATGCATGTGAATATTTCAAAACACCAAAAAATTTCTGAAATCTAATTTCGTTCATTTTTCGGAGGTTGCGGAAAGAACTTTTTTTTGGTCTATAGAGGATAACAATCATTATCCCGTTATCGAACCATCTAAAACAAACAGCAATAACTTAAAACTATAAGATCTAATATCTAGACAATCATTTCAGATTCTTATCAGAATAATAAGCGCTGGAAAATTGCCTTTCCAATACTTATCAATTTTCTCCGAAGAAATTTATGTATCCGAAGTATTAGACACTGTGACGCTATTGTCTTCGTTATGGAAAAAACCACTGTGCTCTTAAGGAGAGAGTGCTGTTTTTCTTGTTAATAATTTATTAGGGTGCTACGTTTTTGTGCCCCCACGTTAGTGGCGGGCATTTAGATTTACCCTTGTCCGTCCGTCCTTCCGTCCGTCCTTCCGTCCGTCCGTTCACTTTTGTGTCGCACGTAACTCAAAAAGTATTTGACCTAGAGTCATGAAACTTTACAGGAATGTTGATCAGCATGTGTAGTTGTGCACCTGGGTATTTTCGTCTGGATATTTTTAGTATTTTCAGAGTTATTGCCCTTGACTTAGTAAAATTTGGCAATTTTCAACTTGTGTCGCATGTAACTCCAAAAGTATTTGACCTAGAGTCATGAAACTTTACAGGAATGTTGATCAGCATGTGTAGTTGTGCACCTGGGTATTTTCGTCTGGATATTTTTAGTATTTTCAGAGTTATTGCCCTTGACTTAGTAAAATTTGGCAATTTTCAACTTGTGTCGCATGTAACTCCAAAAGTATTTGACCTACAGTCATGAAACTTTACAGGAATGTTGATCAGCATGTGTAGTTGTGCACCTAGGTATTTTGGTCTGGATATTTTTAGTATTTTCAGAGTTATTGCCCTTGACTTAGTAAAATTTTGCAATTTTCAACTTGTGTCGCATGTAACTCAAAAAGTATTTGACCTAGAGTCATGAAACTTTACAGGAATGTTGATCAGCATGTGTAGTTGTGCACCTGGGTATTTTCGTCAGGATATTTTTAGTATTTTCAGAGTTATTGCCCTTGATTTAGTAAAATTTTGCAATTTTCAACTTGTGTCGCATGTGACTCAAAAAGTATTTGACCTAGAGTCATGAAACTTTACAGGAATGTTGATCAGCATGTGTAGTTGTGCACCTGGGTATTTTCGTGTGCATATTTTTAGTATTTTTAGAGTTATTGCCCTTGACTTAGTAAAATTTTGCAATTTTTAACTTGTGTCGCACATAACTCAAAAAGTATTTGACCTAGAGTCATGAAACTTTACAGGAATGTTGATCAGCATGTGTAGTTGTGCACCTGGGTATTTTCGTCTGGATATTTTTAGTATTTTCAGAGTTATTGCCCTTGACTTAGTAAAATTTTGCAATTTTCAACATGTGTCGCACATAACTCAAAAAGTATTTGACGTAGAGTCATGTAACTTTACAGGAATATTGATCAGCTTGTGCAGTTGTGCACCAGGTATTTTCGTCTGGATTTATTTAGTATTTTTAGAGTTATTGCCCTTCACGTAGAAAATTTTTGCAATTTTCAACTTGTGTCGCAAGTTTCTCAAAAAGGATTTGACATAGTCAATAAACCTTATAGGCAGGTTGCTCAGCATATTTTAGATTTGCACCTCGGGTTAGGCTTGTGGATTTATCCAGTATTTGTAGAGTTATTTCCCTTGACTTAGTAAAAAGATTGACAGAACAGTGTCGGGGTGGGGGCACCCGTGTCCTATGGACACATTTCTAGTTTTTTTCTGAAACAGTTGATTAAGAAGGTTGAGAAAAAGGAAACGAGAATGACGCGTGCTATAATACTCGGGACTATGAAAAAATAGGCCTTATATGTACAATTCAGAAACATTGTTGGCAACTACATTGTTATGACTCTCGATTGCCTGTAAGAAAAAATAACTGACTATTGATTTCTCATTGAAAGTAATGGAATTTGCATTCCTAGAGGCCTGATCGTGTGACTTGATTTAATTATTTCGGAAATAGAGATTGATTCAGGCTCGATTCACAGTAGTTTTCTCTCCTTATGCCAGACACAATACTTAATTGCTGAAAAATGCTCCTTCTTCATGACCTTTAAGGAAAAAGAATTTGATGTTTAATGGTTCCTTTTTGTTACATGTTGCTGCTTTTTCTAAGAAATCAAGACTTGAATTTTATGATGTTAATATTCTAGTCCAATGCTTTGCATTTTTCAAGGTTTCTTGGTTCACTAGTAGATTTGTGTCATCATTTCCTGTCAAATATATTTTTAGGTTATAATGTAATGATGTCACATTTCCTGTAAACGTTTAAAATACCGTAATGATGTCATATTTCCCATAAATCAAAATTAGAACATCTTAATGATGTCAAATTTCCTAACTTATAGATCACCATAATGGTGTCACATTTTCTGTATACTTAACTCTAGATCTTCATCATGTTGTCACATTTTTCCTGCATACTTCTAGATCTTCGTATGCTTCTCAATCACCATCATGGATCTATATTCATTGTAAATTTCTAGATCAATGTAATGGTGTAACATTTTATTTTACTTCTAAATCACTATAACATTATGTCACATTTCCTGTCAACTTTATGATGGCACAGTTGTCTTGTCCTGTATATTTTAAGAAATACTTTCCATGAATAATACTTGTGTCACACTTCCTGATATTTACCATAAATAATACTTGTTCTTAAATGTCACATTTCCTTAGGCCTAAAAAAAAAAATGTTGTGTTTCCGGTGGCCTGACCGACCCTATTTTTTAGCGCCGACCCAAAGTTTTTTATTGATGTACAAAAAAAAAATGGCGCCCATACCGACCGTACCGAAGACGGGTTTTAGTATTGCGAGTCGACAACGATGTCAGGCACAGACGATTCGTGTTCCAATTACGCATTAACGCGCACCGGCAAATATGGCGGCACAACAAGCAGCCGAAGTGTCACTGCTGGCGATTTCCTTTAAAAATACGATCATAGTTTGGCAAAACAGGAAATCAAATTAATTGACCACAGCAAAACAGCTCAAAACATTTTTTGGACGTGCATGGTCATGTTAAGAGTGAGAATATTAAAATTGAAGCCAGTTGTTCGGTAAGAATAAAAAAAATGAAAACGAAAGTCGAGTCATGCCATTGGTAAAATTTATTTCAAAATATAAGATTGAAGTCTAGGTTTGGTAGTCTAACATTTTTAAGTACTTTTATATGCTATAGAATATAATTTAAAGTCCATATAATCCGTATCTGACATATCTACAATCGTTGATTGACTGAAAAAAAAAAAAGAAAAAAAAAAAAACAAAAAAAAAAACCCTACTTTTTTTGGCCTCGCCACCAGAAACACATCAATTTTTTTTTTAGGCCTTATACTCCCATAAAGAATATTTGTTTGTGTCACATTTCATAATTCTTTCCATAAATAATTATATAATAGTGGGATCCTAGTGAGGACGCCCTAGTAACTCAGTAGCATCTCCTACAACGCAACCGGAGCAGCTTGAAAGTGCAGAAGGAATGCCGAATGAACGCGGTGGATATCCACGACTATTGTACTGCATCTCTATCGGGCTTATACTGCGTGTGCACAGCGCTTTTACAGATTACGATTTCAGCGCAGTGTAAGCACAGTTAGAGCACCGTGGTGCATAGAACACAGTTGAAGCACAGTCTAAACCAGACAATCGCCAATTAAAACGCTGTGGAAGCTCTGAGGCAACACAATGATCATTGTGAGGAAACCGTGAAGTCTCCATTGATGTGTTGTCATCGAAAATATCACATTTTTTATTGCGATTTCGCGGCGCTTTGTTAAATGTAACAACACCATGCAAACCCAGTCTAGTGTGACAGGGCCTTTAAGAACACATTTCTTTCTTTGTAATTGTTCCAGTATCTTAGACCCTGTCAATTTCCCAATTCATTTCCAGATTTAAGATATTCGAACACTCATAATATATTTCCAGATCCTTGTGAAAAAGTGAAATGCAATGGCCAAGAAGTGTGCGAGATCGAAGACCATAAACCGATTTGCCGATGTCAGAAAACATGCGAGGATGATATATCACCAATTTGTGGTAGTGACAAAAAGACATATGGCAACCTGTGTTTACTGAAACAGCAGGCATGCCGTTTAGGGCGAGATATCTCAGCACTTTATGACGGCAAATGCCAAGGCAGTACAGGTAAGTCATCAATAAAGTTTACACCTTGTGACCATAGAGGGCCTGCATGTTTTCATCAGGCGTTGAACAAAAAATAAAACAAAAAACAGCCGACTAGTGATTATGTCAACTCATAGTTGCTATAGTTACTAGCATCCTTATAATAATTGCTGATATAAAATCATCTCGTTGTTTACAAAAATATTTAATAAATACAGGACTATCTGTTGATGTCCATGTAAGGAATTTTGATAACATGAGATTTATATGAGCCTTACTTCAAAAATTGATTCAAATGACAGTCAATATTTAGTTTAGTTACTTATTTGATCTGTACTTGTTGCAGTCAATCATCTAGTCAGAGGCTGAATATACCCTTGACCTATTGTGACCCTTAGATGCAAATATTCATACTGCTATTTTAAAATGTACTATCCAAGGACCAAACAGAAAATCACCATAGTCAAAAACTTTCTTGGATGCTACTAAAGCCCCAAACAACAATTTTTTTTTAGATTAGTCAAAGTTGAAACGTTACAACTTTGTGCAATAGAATGTCTGTTAATAAAGAAAAATATTACTGACCTAAACTTTTTATCTTTGGATTTTTAAAACAATATGTACTTGTAAATAATTCACTTTTTTTGGGACATTGATGTATATTCTGTATATTTCATTCATGCCATGTTTATAGCTATGCCACTTTTGGTTTACAATTTATTGCTCATGAATTCATTTTTAGAAAAAAGTAGTTCGTATTTCGTAAGTAAACTCGATTGTTTTAAAAACAGGAGGAGAAGCAGGTTCCGGCGGCATTGCAGACGGTAAACATTTCTACACCGTCTAACTGTGTGTGTGTTAGGAACGGAATGCGTTTATACAAAGGGCAATCAATAGACATTTTCACTGGAACTTAAATCAAATTTTCTCTTCAGATATAACTTAGTTAATGCAAGATGCCTTTTATGTAGATTTCCTGAGAGAGTTGAAATTACTGATCATGTTTGCCTTCGCTACTTTGAAAATTGAATCGAAATGCTTTTGTACAAGATTATTGCCAGTTTTCCTGAAAGTAATAGAACACGTTTTGCATTTTAAAATTTTCTCTTGAACATAATTTTTTTTTTTTTGTGCACTAAAATGTCAAATTGGTGAAATACCATACACATGGATGGAACCCTTAATTGTCTGACTTAATGATATGCATACTACTTATTTTTACACGCCCAATTATTGCATTGTCTGAAATTAATAAGATTAGTAATTAGTATTATTCAGGCTTTGACTCATGTTATAGTTCTGCCCTTTTTCAGTATAAACCACATGTAAAGAGGTGTCTCAAGAGCAGATTTAAATGAAAAAAGAACATTTTTGGATAAAAGCCAAAGCATGAAACTTGCATCACCAGTTCCTAGTATATATTGTTGATATGTATATAAAAATTGAAAATGTTTAACATTGCCCTTTGTTACATATGTAGATGACTTTGAAACTTTTAGAAGTGATACTTTTACCTTTATCGAATGAAGTTATTTTGCAGTGCCTTTTTACAATCAACTTAGTTTGAATGACCGTGAACTTTTTTATTCTTTTTTTGAGCCTTTTCTTTCAGAACGATTTAACCGCAGGTTGTGAATGCGTGCTAAGCCTGGACCTTTTTTTCCACATTCTTTTAGATGCAAAGCAGAATTTTGTAGCTGAACATTTTTGATATTTACACAGTTGCTGGTAAATGTTTAGTTCAAAACTACCACTACTCTTCGGGCTTTAAAGTTCGACTCTATTCAAAGAATTATTGGTCATAGCCAAACCCTCCCCCGATGTCAATGTTGGCGTCTCTTCATTAATACTTTGTTAAAGTTTTGCATAAATTAGTCGACTCTCAAAAACCAGTGGATATATTCAGTTAAGACTGGAATAGAAATGGCAGGTCACTGTTACAGACCCATAACTAATTAGCACTGATTACATTTTTAAAAGTATCATAACATTTGTAAGATCTAATTTCACAACCACTGAAGATATTTATATCTATTCATAAAAAAAATTATGTCTTAAGCTAATGTTTTTGTTGGTATATCACCAAGGTCCATAACTCTTACATTGATTTCCATTGAGTTTTTTCCCTTTGTCACATTAAACAATTATTTAAAAGTCCAAAATTTGTTTTGAATAGTCAAGCATTCTGTCAGACAGGCACTGCTCTTGTTTTAATGTATAACAAGAGATCAAATCTTACAGCAGTTATCTTTTGTTGTCTTGTAGATCAAAATACATTTTTTACTCAAATTCAGATTTTTTTAAAAACTATTTTGAAATTTAACCAATTTACCAGTTACAGAAAAGAAATGAAATTCAAAAATTTCACTGACTAAAAAGATTTTGTTTTACATTTTTAGGAGTTAGAAATTTCCCTAACCACCACTCTCCCCTCCCCATATTCGTCTGTTCCCCACCCCCCTCGTCTAAAAATCTTAGACAGTTGATTGGGTAGTTGTGAATTTCTTTACCGGACTGTGTATAGAGCATTTTGATTTATGTTTCACATTTAAGCAGACATGAGATATTAATGTACATGTAGTATCAATGTAGCAGATGGAATGTTTATATGTGTAAAAATTATAATCCTATTTTTAGATTATACATGTATATTTAGCATTTTCAACGACTCTATGCATATTTTATATGTACTAAAGAAAATAGTTCAGAATGTCATTGATCCAGAATACTGTCACTCCGTTTTTCATTTTCAGAGTTTTTATCACAATGGCGTCTGCTTTCTACTCGTAACAATTGATTTCCTATAGTTCAACAGGTAACACTTAAAAGAATAAAAAAGAATTGACAATCTAAAAAACCGGTACATTAAAGTGTCCTCATTTAACATTTCATTTTCATCGTTTAGTCATGCATGCATTATTTGATCATAAACAATGGCCGTTTATTATATTATACAGCTTTTGGTTGGTGAATAAAGAAGTGGAGAAGTCATTCCATTAAATGTGGTCCCACAACGCTTTAAAGGGAAACGTTTTAAGAAATGACACAAGTAATCTAATAAAATAGTGAAGCTATTTGCAATGCAATTCAAAACTGGATGAAGCCCATATATATACACACATTGCTGAGTTTACAAAAGTGACATACTGGGTGTACAAATAATGATTTATACGTCATTTGGGAGAAAAAAATGGTTTATTTACTTAATAATTAATTCTGTCAAAAGAAACTGATGTTTGTTGTATTGATTTTAGACTTAATTGAATGTCTGCTTAGACATAGTCATGCAATATTAAAAGATGCATTATCCTAAGGTGAAGTTTCTTGATGCCAATCCCCCTCATACATAGATTTACAATAATACAATTATCATAAAACACAGGGATAGAAGGCCCATGTGGCTACATGACTTAGGATAACTTGCCTATAAGAATAACTTGTGGATTTGAATCCTTACAGGGACTTCCGGCTCTTGCATGTGAGGATATAATCATACAAGTAATCCAGCAAGCTCAGTACAGAAAGTTGACAGGCACAGAGGGGCAGGCACCCTTAAGCCTTGACCTTTGTGTTGGTGTGAGTAACATAAAACAAATACAAAAAGAAATGTTGATCAATAGAATATTACTGTATATTGAGCATAATAGCTACTCAACAGTTGATAATACGCAAACAGCTAATTATTCCGGTGGCAGGAGTACAAACAAACCTCTAAAACACACACACAAATGTGCTCAAATGATCGCTGGCCACATGGGTTCAAAGCATGTCAGGGGCAAGTCATTTCTTTGAGCTCATTGTTCAGCACTGGTTGGTTCCTTTAATTTATTATTTAGTAAAGGATTCAAACGTGTGCCTATAAGCTTACAGCTTCCATAACACAATCAAACTAGATATAAACTAGATGTACTCTTTGAACTTATAACCTATTGAAAAAAATACTCTCTAATCTTGATATATGAAACATAACACTTTACATGACTTTTGATTATTTAAAATGTTATTGTAATTATAATCATGGTGTAAATCTTCAGGAAATAAAAGACTGAATACACCTTACAGTACATTACCTCTGTAGAGCATTACCCTGTGTGAGGCAGAGGTTTTGGTTGGTACTGAGAGGTGGTTGTTCTAGAGAGGTGTAATTCACTGTTAAATCTTAGTTTTGGAAGATTTGATTATGTTTTTATAAAGAGTTTATCTCTCTACAAATAGCTGTTCTGCAGAGCTCACAGCAACAATAAAGACAGTTTGGCTGAGAAAGTTGACTAGGAAAGTTTGGAACAAAGTTATCCACAATAGAATTTGATAAAATCACTGCAAATGATGAGCTTTGATCAAATGAAGATGCCATGTTTGCTGGAGATGCCATGTTTGTTGAGGATGTTATGTTTGTTGAAGATGCCATGTTTTTGAGGATGCGATGACATGTTTGTTGAGAATTACCTCCCTTGATTGCTGGATTAGAAAATTGCCATGCGGTACCATTATTCCCTTAAAGTATGGGTTACTTATATATTCCTTGAACTAAACCATGGCCTAATTTTAGTTTGCTAAACTGATCAACACGATACCAATACAACTTTTAGAGAAAGGGTACAATTGAAAATTGATGTCAATTTACTCTGCCTGATGTCTTAACACAATTTGATTTTGTTATAATTATGGTAATGTCAAATGAAATGATTTGGGATGAAACTAAATGGAGCGGAATTATATAGATATAGGATTGGACACCTTTTGTCATTTGTAATGACTTTCTGTTATTCATTTACAGAATATGTCAATTTACTCTTTGATGTCTTAACACAATTTAATGTTATTTTATGATGATGCTGGGATGAAACTAAATGGAGCAGAAATATATAGATACAGGATTGGACTCCATTTGTCATATGTAATGACTTTCTGTTATTTCTTAACTGAAAAGATCTATTATTCAATCAAATATTCAGACTTGATACTTAAGATAACAAATATATGGCTGCTTAACTTTGAATTACTTAAAATAATGACTGTGAACTTCAATAAAATTTAAATGATCTAAAACTTGATATTATTTTGACCTATGAACTTGTCAAAGTTTCATCAAACTCATGAAGTTGCATGTAATTGCATTAAATATCAATAAATCATCCTGATTATCAATATTAAATATTGCAAATGGTGTTTAAATATCAAAATCAAAGGGAGGTAACTATTGCTAATGATATAAACTATCAGGTCACATAATCATGGATGGTGCAAATTTTTCTGAGCTTTAAATACCTAACCAATGTAGCAACTTATCCAGCATGCAATGTTGTCAGCATGTGATTTTTTAGCATGTATATTGTTAAATGTTGTAACAGAATAAACTTGATTGTATATATGATATTTTTTATTATAAATGTATATTGTAATGCATATGGTGCATTAACCGTTCACTTAATAGAAATGTGATAAGTATTTTTTTTTGTAATTTTTGATGAAATTTTAATGACTTTGTTACAAAAAACATTTTACATTCATGTTACCATTTTTTATTCTCATTTAACTTATTTTGACTGAACTTCATTATCATTTTTAATCAGTTGAAAAGGTCATTGCCATTCCAGCATAATGATTATTAGTGTTAATAATTTTTTGTTATAAAATTTAGGAAGAGACATGTCTTTGGCATTTAAATGAAGTTAAGTTGTAAAATTAGGGAAGAATTAAATTTTGCCATTTGAAGGTTTTTTTAAAAAATAAATGTTCCCTAAGTATTATACGAGTACCTCCTATACCAGATGAAGGATTTTCTATAAATTTGGCTCAAATGTTCACAACAATCAGGCAGTGT